ACATAATCACATGCCTGTTATATCCGTTAAAGTCAAAACAAGCATAAATCTAATTTGACAATATAATCACATGAAGCACACAAGAATATATAGTGGTTTTGTTTTCTCGACCGCCATCTACATTTCAAACCGTCGATTAGGGATCAATTCATCAATTAGCCAGTTTTCTCTAGATTTGCCCAAAATCTTTTTAACTCTGAGTTTCAAGGCTAACCTATAACCTGGCTAAGATCTTCTTCCTCTGGGATTTCTTATAAGTTTTCTGGGATTGCTTTTACTTGCAACCTACCTAATGGTCCACCACTAGGATATTTCCAAGGTATTATCCTTGGGATGGTCCAGAGTCATACACTACTTCTACACATTTGGGGACTTAATTGGTTACCTTGTGTCAGGCCTTACTCAAACTGTAATAGTGATGCGGTAAACTGTCTCCTAATGCACAAATGTAATCGATTTAGACCTTAATGGAGTGCTTATTGCTGCAGTGCTTTCTTTTCAAGATGCTTGGGCAAGGATTCCTCTAGATGGAGATAGAGAGAGAGGAGACTAATGCTCATTCAAGGCTTCCTCAATCACTCTTTTATATTACCAGAAGAGCATAGATGATTTGGTGTTCTCAACCATCAGGTTCTCATCTATAATAAGTGAGGAGCATTTGTAATGTACAGGGCTGGTCTATTAGCACTAGGGGCTGCTGGCTTGACTGGATAATTCCTAGCTTATTGTTGGACTACGGCTAAGTCTAGTGTTAACTTTCTATATCTCTGGATGTTAAGACCCACTTTGAAGTTTTCAAATCTCAAGGCATCAACTCTACTGATGCAATATCTTGCATCCCACTTCCGTGAGCTATTTTTGCCCTCATGAAATTGCAAATTAAACTAAGGTATGCGTAACATCCACAAGAGCTGTGCCTGGTTCGATAATTCTCAAGTCAACTCAGCACAACACAATAAAGCCTTAACCCTAACTATTTAGAGTCGTTTATACCTGAATCATATTTCTCTATTGTGTTCTATTAAGGACCATACGAAGGTTGAATGATGTAGCTTTGACGCTTGATCTCCTTTCTTCAATATTGCTTTGGGATCTTAAACTTGATAGCATCGTCACCATAGAAATGGTTGAGATTTTACAATGGACTCCGCGAAATTAGTCAATTACAAAATATGATCTAACAATCTTCTAATTTGGCAATTTCGTGATAAAATAAACAAGTTTGAAATAAAGATTACATCTCCAAAAATGTCATATTATTTTTTACTATTTCGTTAACAGTTATTTTAGGCCTACTTCTACTTCTCGCATTGCCATCGATATGTATCAAATTACTCTTCTTTTTCGGTGCATTATTAGGTTTTCTATGAATATGTGCAAACCTCTTAAGTCGATTCTCTTTTAATTTATTTCTTATTGGTGCTATTTATACGATTTTACGAATATGCTCATTTCTAATTCTATCATTTCTTGTTTTACCGCATATCCCATTTAACATTTGAGTGTGTTGTTTCTTAATTGCTCAGTATTTTGTTACATTAAAGCCACTGCTCGATAATTAAGTTATGAAAATTTTCTTCGTGGTGGCAATTGGAATCGAGCATTAAAGCTACTGTTCAAAGTACTCGATGTGTTTGAAAGTTCAGGGATTTAATTCTCTACCCAACAATTAGCATGAAAAATGCATAAAATTCTTAAATTTGATGAATTCTGTGCTCCCAATTCCATTAATTCCCAAGCATTGGGGTATTCTTTTCAATTCTCTGTACAACATCTCCGCACCTCTTCCTTCTC